GAAATAGGAAATAGTGGACCGTTTGGATTCTAACCCGGGTGGTTGAATTGTTGCCTGCCCATTATAAGACTTGACGATCGTAGGCCCAATCCCTTGCAGGATTGATAATTAGTCCCATGCTGTTGTTCAGTGTTCCCAGGTTTTAGATACTTCTTCAAATAATGTTAACTCATGATGAAAACTGCTTACATATATACCATTTGTTAACAAAGTAGTGGAATATATATGGTGACATTTTAAAAACTGGTTCACATGTTCATTGAACGAACGAAAATGAAACGCACTCAGCTACCTTACGTACCTCCGTGCAGTAGGCAATAAGGTACGCCTATTGTATGAGGGCTAGTTTTACTACTTGGCTGCTCAAGCGTAGTTCAGTGGAACAGGGCTCGAACCCGTGACCAGTGATCAAACATCCAAGAACAAACTTTAAAGCTACGAGAACACAAGAAAATTATCATATTTTATAATCACTAAAAACAAAGAATACAAAATAACAGGATAATAACGATCGATATGATTATAAGAGATAAATTGTGCGCAAAATATGACCAAGTAAACAATAAATACTGTATCATTATGCATTATTTCAAATAAACAAATATAGTATGGAATTAAATTCTACTAGTGTTCAAGGTTTACATTTATAAGTAGGCAAAATGTTAATGATATACAGACCAGACCAAGATTAGGCATCAATCTATTCAGTCTTCAATTATTAGTTGAACAGTGTGTGTATATCTAAGCTCTCTTGTTGGTGTTAGTGAGATGATAACCAAGAATTGATTGGTGATAAATTTAGATGATATGGCAAATAGCCTATTACAATACAGTACACATCCATTCGTCATAACTATAAATATTCAACGTCTTATAACTACTTATCTTTACTTTATTCATCTGGTTTCCTTTGAAACGCATAGCTTTTTATAACATAACATCATTTTCATTCCCTGATTATTTTCTATTATTTAACCTCTTGATATGTTTATGTAAAATGTATCAACTTGAATCCAAGTGTCATTATACTAGGAATTTCTATATATCTTGAATACGTGTTAAATCATTCCTATTGCACACATTAGATGAATAAAGACTTGGTAATTATTGCCTTTTCCATTATTTAACCCAATTAATCTGTAGGACTGTCACTCTGTCTCACCTTATTGTGTAGTTATGTGTTATTGCAAGTATAGCAATAGATGAATTCTACCCCTAGTTTAATGATCTTTCAAGAGTTCATGATTCAAAAGTTCATAAGGCTCCTGCAGTATCCTAACCTAATTGATTTGGATCGGTTGTTTTGGCCAGTAAACTGTAAGCTCAAAAACATTTCAAGGTATTTATTACATCAAATTATTCTGTCTAAATCAGTTAATCGAATCATTAGGCTCAAAAATATCCTCTATGAGTGGATTTGCAGGTTTAAACACAACTCTAATCCTACCTAAACTCGTCAGGAATCAAAGACAGGGTTTCTGATGGTAACCCAGTAAAGGCTTTAAATTCGGTTTCCTTATTATTGTTTTTCCCTTGGGTTCAAAGTGGAAAATAGGCCCTCAGTTGCACGTCTCCATTTCACTCCCTTCCCTGCAGTATTTTCAACCTGGCTCCACCACTACCCATTAGCTTTCATTTCTTCATCACATCATCTCAATGTCACCCTCGTCGTCTCGGACACCCAACTCGTCGTTTCTCCTTCGGAGTCCACCACTCGACGGCCCGACACGGCAAGTGATGTCCCCAATCCGCCTTCTCAGTGTATGCCACATCCAATCCAAACCATCTCCACCTCCTTCTGCATATTTGTTGGGCGATAGGTTTTCGGTTGGTTCGTCGCCAGCCAGCCAGCCAGCCAGCCAGCCAGCCAGCCAGCCACAGTTCCTTCTTCCTTGCTTATTCCCATTATTCTGGCCATCCATCTGATCTTCAGTGTCAGTATTGAGTGAGTGTAGGCGGCAGCTGTTGATGTGACGTATGTCTACAGTTTGTTGGAAATGCTTTTCGTAACGCGCCAAGTCTCTCAACCATCACATAGAATCACTCACTGACTCACTTGACTGAATTAGTGTTGAAAATCTGGATGTTGTTCACGCTTTATGCTGAGTGGAGTGGAGTCGAGTGCGGAGATCTCCACACTGATTATTTCAGAATAATGAAGGCCTATCTTGCTGTCTTTTCGATCCTGGCTTTGACGTCCTCATATGTGCCGCCGCCATCGCCTGTAGTTGAAACGATGCTGCCTTGTCTAGTTAGGTGAAAGAAGCTACTTCTTTTAGGTTACTGCCATTCGTGGTGATTGATGCTGTTGTTGTTATTGGGTTGGGTACTTTCATCATCTCTGTCTGCTCTACATTAACTTGAAGTCCCGTCTTCATTGCTCTACCCTGCCTCTTCTGTCTACTCGTTAGTTTTCACCTGGAGATTTGAGAGTTTGTGCGACATAAGACATTAGACATAAATCATCATCGGCGGCGAAATGAAAATCTTCTTCCGGGGTATTTTCATCCATTCAGTCAGCCTATGCCCATCTTCCCACAGTTTGTTGCGTGATCCAGTCTGTTCTGGTCTAGTCTAGTCCAGTCGACCACAACCACGAAGATAATCGGTGATAGGCAGCGGCTTTGTCTCACTCGTATCCCCTGTCTTCACTTAACACGCGTCCCTGAGCTTTCCATTGTGAATCACACTTGGCATGTGGCGTCGTCATATGGTTGTTGTTGAATGAGGTTGATAAAGGTTTGTGGCACTAAAAGCGCAGTATTGAAACAGCTATCTGCCCAACTACTCCTCGGTCGACACTGTCGAAGGCCTCTTCAAAATCGATGAAGTTGAGTTGAGGTAGAGAGTTGACTGTTCTATGATGATGCGTAGCGTAGTGTTGTAATTTGATCAGCACATGATTTGTTCTTCCTGAAGGCAGTCAGCCAGCCAGCCAGGTGTTCCGATCGTAATTTTGAATGCAGTGCATTGTTTAGTCCCTCCAGGATGATGCGGTTTCATATTTTGCTTGGAGTGGACAGGAGCATGATTCCACGCCGCCAGTTTTTGCAAACACTTAAGTCTCCTTTCTTTGGGAGTTTGACGAGAATAGCCCTTTTTTCCAGTCGGCAGGTACCTTTCCTTCCTTACAAAGCTTCTGCCATGGTGGCGTGAGCATGTCTGCTGTTGTCTCTGCGTCTTTTTTCAGTGCTTCTGGAGGAATTCCATTTGGCCAGGTCTGTCGAATTGCTAATCTGCCCTTTTTCACGAGTCCTCAAGAAATGTTGAAATAAATTTAGGACTATAGTAAAGTTTCGCTTACATGTTTCTTCTTTTCTTGAACTGTTTAACTCACTTGTAAGAATCCTAGCTGTGTTACTTAGAAATGTAACTAAACTTATCTTTACTGATGGGAGGTGAGATGACTATCAGGTCTAGGCTTTCATGAGAATGTGATGGTCTCCTGTAGATACTTGTGTCCACAGCATCGATTTGACGCCTAACACCTGAGATAGGAAGGATTCAACAATGACTATAACTATGTGAAAAATCCTACTACCGATGGTGTCAGAGAATGAAAAATCAGTAGAGAACTGCCAAACAGCGAAGGCAAGAAGTCTGTGTGTTTGTCTTGATAAGATTAAGAGCAATGAATTGTGCTAGAAACATGACGCAATAAACAATGCTGCATCACTATGAATTACATCAAATAAACTAATCTAATATAGATTTCAGATTAGTATTAATCATGGAGTGACATCAGTTGGAGAAACATTTGAAATCTGGAAGCACTATACAGTTGTTTCGTCCTAGTATGGGATTCCTCAGCAGTGCGCACCCATGACCTCTTTACGCCAAGGATCCAATCCAGGACCTTCACGTTCCGTGGTTAGCACGTTGGCATTGAGCTACTGTGTCGGAATCCAATGGTCCACAGTTCCCTACTTCTTTCAGTTCACGATATATATAGCACGACCTCCATACGATACCGTGTTATTGAGTAACTGTCCTTATGTTCGACTTGGTTGGCCCCACTAGTCACGACTTTTATAATAAATTAAATTCTGATCTTATTTGGTGGTGTCTAACACTTATAGTGAGCATCCATTCACAGGAGCACTAACATTCATTATGGTATAGGTGGGTTCAGCTAATCAACAGGAAGCTAAAATATAAACACATATGCACATATATGATAAATTTTATTCCTAGCCACAATTACATAAAAATGACCATGTTTCGAAAACAATCACATGAACCATACTATTCATGAATACTTAGTTCTCAGTTCATTTAAGTTATCTAAACACTTTAACACAGTTTAATGAATTCTATCTGGTTGAGGATTGCTAGAGACCCTCAAAAGTGTCTATTAACCTTTACCGTTTAGAATTTGGCGCTGTACACTAAATAAATCGTGTAACACCTGTTTTTTTTTGACATTCTTAACACTTCATTTCATACATTAAGGTTTGCTTGAACTTTTAGTCTGTCACCCAATTATATATAACGGTATTGTGGAGCTGTGGTTTATTGATGTAGGCAGATGCGCTTCAACCAATTAGTCACGGCTTCAAACCCCGTCCCACCCACCGAGGTGTAGGCAGCCGGGCGATAGTATCATAATACGGGGTGTCGCCTACTGCCTACTGGGCGTGGTGGTTGTTGAGTGCATTTCAATAAAATGTAACAATAATATACGTTTATTTTCTTCGGTGAAGTCTATAATTCCCTCAATCTGAGTTCAGATGTGATTATTCATCGTTAAACTAGGTTGTAAGCTTGAGTTTATTTTTCACAAGATACACCTATTTCATGAATTCAATCTATTCATGTACACTACCGTTCAAACATTTTTATGGCATTTTCAAGTCAAGTGGATAAGGTTTTTTATTCAACAATGGGAAAGAAATGCTGAATAATGTCATGCGGTTTATATAGTGATACTTTTATATTACTACTAGGGTGTGAAAAACAACTGTGAAGCTATCAAGTTGAATCAAATTCATTTAACTAACCGTATATTTTTTGACCAGGACAGTGGTATCTAAAGCCAAACTTTGCTCTTGTTCCAAGTCATATGCTACATAGCATAACTTTTCCTTCATTTGACGGATAGTATCAAAGTCTGCTGTCTGATTGAATGCATAGCCACGTAGTAATAAAAGCTAGGGGAAAGAGGAAACATAGTAAATTAAGTAATTACGCGGCATGAATGAATTAAAGTGTTCGAAAACAGTATATTGAAGACAACAAAAATGAGTTAAACGAAGAAATTATTCTGAAAATAATAAAAGACTGATAAGTCACTACTTTAAACATTTAAGAATAAATGTATGAAACTGAATACAACTATCTACTGCTGAGGTAGAAAATTCCCTAAAGACACGTCCTCAAGCACCATCCAAAGTTTCAAAAGTACGGAATGCATACTAAATATACTTCACATAGGCCATTCCACAGGTATGTGAAATCAGATATGGAGAATCCATTAGTACAATGCACTTCCTCGATAACCTCGCCTAGTTAACTAGTTCACTAATTACCGACCTTCCTATGCCCGGATAAAGATGGAAGGTTGGGCATAGGGCTAGCAACCCTATCCGGTAAAAACAATCCAATCGCTAAAATACTTCAAAGCACAGACAAAACACAAAAAATAAAAACAAACTTATTCTTCGCTGGGATCGGAGAGACGAAATGACGCCAGTTAGTGAAAGCCTAACTTCGGAAAGCCAGTCGGCCGATGTGTCCTCTCTCGATGAAAGCGAAAGTAAAGATGGGCACATGAAATGTCCACACCATGTTTAAAGCTGGTTGGCAAGGCTGTCCAGATTGCAAAACAAATGAGGTATGGTATGGAAGTGCCTGGAATCTGCGAAAGCAGAAGGAATGGAAGTGGACTCTCCAAACAGTCAACTGGACAGTCAATAATCTACTCCGGTTACTCAGATGACAACCACGAGCACGTGAAGTTTCAGAGTGGCTATCATGATGTCTCCAAGAGCATCGAAGGCTCTCTTGCAATGGGAACCAATCTCCTCCCCCGGATTATGACAATAAGATGAATTTACACCACACCACTGCAGAAGCTTTGTAAGGAAGGAAAGGTACCTGCCGACTGGAAAAAAGGGCTATTCTCGTCAAACTCCCAAAGAAAGGAGACTTAAGTGTTTGCAAAAACTGGCGGCGTGGAATCATGCTCCTGTCCACTCCAAGCAAAATATGAAACCGCATCATCCTGGAGGGACTAAACAATGCACTGCATTCAAAATTACGATCGGAACACCTGGCTGGCTGGCTGACTGCCTTCAGGAAGAACAAATCATGTGCTGATCAAATTACAACACTACGCTACGCATCATCATAGAACAGTCAACTCTCTACCTCAACTCAACTTCATCGATTTTGAAGAGGCCTTCGACAGTGTCGACCGAGGAGTAGTTGGGCAGATAGCTGTTTCAATACTGCGCTTTTAGTGCCACAAACCTTTATCAACCTCATTCAACAACAACCATATGACGACGCCACATGCCAAGTGTGATTCACAATGGAAAGCTCAGGGACGCGTGTTAAGTGAAGACAGGGGATACGAGTGAGACAAAGCCGCTGCCTATCACCGATTATCTTCGTGGTTGTGGTCGACTGGACTAGACTAGACCAGAACAGACTGGATCACGCAACAAACTGTGGGAAGATGGGCATAGGCTGACTGAATGGATGAAAATACCCCGGAAGAAGATTTTCATTTCGCCGCCGATGATGATTTATGTCTAATGTCTTATGTCGCACAAACTCTCAAATCTCCAGGTGAAAACTAACGAGTAGACAGAAGAGGCAGGGTAGAGCAATGAAGACGGGACTTCAAGTTAATGTAGAGCAGACAGAGATGATGAAAGTACCCAACCCAATAACAACAACAGCATCAATCACCACGAATGGCAGTAACCTAAAAGAAGTAGCTTCTTTCACCTAACTAGACAAGGCAGCATCGTTTCAACTACAGGCGATGGCGGCGGCACATATGAGGACGTCAAAGCCAGGATCGAAAAGACAGCAAGATAGGCCTTCATTATTCTGAAATAATCAGTGTGGAGATCTCCGCACTCGACTCCACTCCACTCAGCATAAAGCGTGAACAACATCCAGATTTTCAACACTAATTCAGTCAAGTGAGTCAGTGAGTGATTCTATGTGATGGTTGAGAGACTTGGCGCGTTACGAAAAGCATTTCCAACAAACTGTAGACATACGTCACATCAACAGCTGCCGCCTACACTCACTCAATACTGACACTGAAGATCAGATGGATAGCCAGAATAATGGGAATAAGCAAGGAAGAAGGAACTGTGGCTGGCTGGCTGGCGACGAACCAACAGAAAACCTATCGCCCAACAAATATGCAGAAGGAGGTGGAGATGGTTTGGATTGGATGTGGCATACACTGAGAAGGCGGATTGGGGACATCACTTGCCGTGTCGGGCCGTCGAGTGGTGGAATCCGAAGGGGAAACGACGAGTTGGGTGTCCGAGACGACGAGGGTGACATTGAGATGATGTGATGAAGAAATGAAAGCTAATGGGTAGTTGTGGAGCCAAGTTGAAAATACCGCAGGAAAGGGAGTGAAATGGAGACGTGCAACTGAGGGCTTATTTTCCACTGGGAAGCCAACGGATAAATTATGATAATAATTTGTTTGATTCTCTCTCTTAGGCGGACAGAGCTCCTACACCTGTCGACTGGTAGAATCGAATATGGTTAGTAGAGGGCATCGGAAAGTATGCCTGCGTTCTGGAACTTACTAAAAGGTAAAGATGTAATCAGTGGACTTTCATTTATGTCTGAAACCTACCTGGTGATCACCAGCTTGAGTATGACGCTTGAGATTTTGCAAGCATGGTAAGTTAGATAGTTAGAAATGCCCTTTGAGGCTATTATTTTAGTGTGCTCGTTTTATGTAACCGAGCGATTTAATTAGTGGTCCTAAACTTTTAGGTTTCAGTAGGTAGTGATGACATTTATATGATCGCTAGAAATAGCAGTTGCTAATGTAGACAAATATAACGCTATAATACTTTTCAAGCATGCGATCGCTGTGACCTAGTGAAGTAGCCTACGCTGCACAAAATCAAGCTAGAAAAATACTAATGAATAAGCTATAAATGCATGCAATATTCAAAAAATATATTTCATACCATAGCACTTACCTTGATCAGGTAACGTGTGATATCGCGACCGGCAACATCTAGACGCCTTGTCAAATGAGGTAGAGAGATCCCTTCGTAAACTGGGCATATATGAGTAACGCCATCGCCAGAATCGACCACAACACCAGTCATAAGACCTTAGGGTAGAAATAGAAAGAGAAGGAACTATGATAAGAGCTGTTTATCAACCAAATGACCTCAAATAATACCACCATCATCAATATATCAGCTTACCAAAACAATTTAATTCAAAATAACTTCCCCATCTGGTGCAATACAATTCGCTAGTTGAAAGTCTAGTGCATAAGCCAATGGATTCGCAGCTCCACACTTCTCAGCTTACTAGTTTGTTACTGCTAAGGAGTTGATCTGCGCTTTTTTCCTCAGGATAGGGATATCATATTCAGTAGAACCCTTCAGTCAATTATTTGGTCATTTCGATGAAACAAGCCTCTGAACTTTAGAAGTTAGGTTGCATCATGCTAGACTTCGAAAGTGATTAATATAATAAATGGATTAAATATTGACCATCTGTTCTCTTAGTCACAGATACTAAGGTAGTCTATGATGTCTCGCACTAAGTATTATCAATTAGTTTTTTGCATCTTATTAATATAGCTTTTGAAAATATACTCCAGCATCACTTATTTACATATCATTGTAGATAAGAGAAGTAAAATGGGCTTTGGACTGAACCAACTGCGACTGGTTCATCACTAAAGTTGAGGATCGATTCTACATTCATGATTCGGTTGTAATTTAGTATCCACTTATTTAAGGCTTAATTGGACTGCATCATATCTAAAGATATGAGGCGTCTTAATCGAGGTCAGTAGGGTTTACAGTATAGTTGTTTCTATATCATACCGTCGTTGATTGGACCGAATTGATCGGTCTTTATTGGCATATGGGAACGACATCACTCATCGAGAAGCGGATCCATCCAGCTGACAAGTCCCAAAAAGGAAGAAATGCGCATCCTGGATTCCACTGCTAGCCACTACCCATCATTACTATCATTAGAGCATAGGTAATAATCGAGGCATCCGCACAGGGGCCCATATGCCAATAGAGACCGATCGATTCGGTCTAATCAACGACGGTATGATATAGAAAGAATTATACTAAAAACTATACCCATCGCACAAGAAGTGGCTATCACGACTCGGTGGTGTAGTGGATAACGCTCTGGTGTTTGAAGCGATCGCTCCCGATTCCGAACTCCGGTGGGAACAACATTGCCCACCGGGAAGCAGGCGCATCCAGCTGACGAGTCCCAAATGGGACGGAATGCGCGTCCTGGATTCCACTGATGGTCACTATCCATCATTACTATCAATAGGGTTTAGTTTTAAAATATTTTTTGAAATGCATTGACGATTCGCTTGGTTTTAGCACGTATATCTGCGCCTGAATAGTCCTGGGAAAACTACTACGAGTGCTGCTTGGCGGTGTGAATACTAAGGATGCTTCTAACAAGAAGCCAACTAGACAGTTATTGGTACAGAACACTACTCATCCAAAAAGACTGGTACCATCCCCAATCTGATAAAAACAGCATTGAAGACCGTAGCCGACTGATACAGTGGTTATAAAGAGCCACTGGATATCAGCAGCTTCTTTTAAATTAATGGCTGTACACAAGCGCACCCTGCAGCTTTTGAGTACAATGAGGAACAAATGCAACTGACAAAACGTCTGCGCTATGACTGCGAACAGTGATAGGGAGTGAGGACTAAAGATATAGAAAAGATAGCGGGGATGGGTAACATGAGACGGTTGTTTAGACTTATCGAGAAAATAGGGCAAAACAGTCAGAGGTTAGTGAGAAAACAGAGGAGAAGGATATCTACGATTCACTTGCAGGAGACGACTGGAAAGATAGGCGGAACTCTGAGGAGCAGTTCAGCTGGCCTCCATTTACTACTTAGTTGGTTCTATCCAGTGGGATGTATCGACCAGATATTCAGTTACCCTCTGCGAGGTTCTGGAACGCAGTCACACTTATCGACTCCCGATATGCTGCATTTCCGCACTATACGGTGGCATTTGACTCTATTGATCGAGAAGTCTTATGAGTGTCTCTCATTAAAAGGGGACGCCGAGTAAATGCATCACTTTGTTGAAGGCTCTGTACTCCAAAATCCGTGACCATGTTAGAGCCTATGCTGAGTTGTCAGGTGAGTTGTGTACGTCGAGTAGTATCTGTCAAGGAAGTTCACTCCCTCCACTTTTATTCGACTTTATCATAAACGTACTTACGGAAGTTGCCTCGTCGTCTGGTCTCACAGGGATTTTTATCATAGGGGAATTCTTACTACACCTAGAGCACGCAGATGATATAGTTCTGTTAGGTAATGCTAACAAGACGCATAGTCTTCTAGATACCATGAGTGGCAACTAGAATACATTTTTGATGCGTTTATCAGCTCCAAATGCAAACTGTTGCTCCATGACTAGTCTTCGCCACTGCTCTGTCTGACAACAAGGAGTGTTGAGTGCGTTGACTAGTTGGTCAGTGACAGAAAAAATCTGTACACGGATACAAAAGGCTCGCTTAGCTTTCGTCAGCTTACTCCATTTATGGCACCATCGTGATATCCGATTGTCTATTACAATCCAGGTGTACCGCGCTGCAGTTTGCTCTGGCCTACTACATAACTGTGAAACATGGCCATTAAAGGCGGAGGACATGAGGCTTTAAGTGTTCGTCGTCTCTGTAGCGTATATCATATATCGTGATATCATCATATCAGTAACGAAGTTCGGTGTTGTTTTAGACAGATGAAAGTCAGCTGTGAACTTTCATCGGATAGGATGACTGGGACATGTGCCACACTCACCTAGTCATCTGAGTCACCGCACATTGTTAGCTGAAGTAGGTTTAGAGTTGAAAAAGGCGAGAGAAGACCAGACCAAAAGACAGCAACAGTTAGTGAAGCATTTGACTAAAGGTCTGAGCTATGTAGGGAAAGGCAGACTTTCTAGTAGGGATCCGCGGCAACAACAAAAACCAGTGGCTGGAAACTAGGTGATATAGTTCAAAACTGATCTCAATGGCGCAGATGCTGACACGAGGCGTGGCGGCTTGAACTACTATGCAGTAATGCCAGGTTCTATGTTAGCACTATTTATCTATTTAAGATAGTAGGACCTCGGAGCTTAGCAAAAAATTAATGTAACTCACTTGCCAGCTACAAGTTTGCGTTTATTGACCCATAAACCACACTCTATGTGAAGGCTTATGATAATAACCAGCAAGTTGGGTCGAAGTGGATGGAGCGAAAGATAAACCCAGGAACTGTAAAGTGAAAGTCAGATGTCTAGGCCAATCAGCAACAAATAGGGGTGATGAATAAGCTTCTCAAAACTCCTGACCAGCCACTCTAACTTTTGGGATGAAACTTAGAGTCTACATATGCTAAGCTGAATATTAAGCTTAGTTTTTATTTTTAAAGAGTAATCAAGTCTTGACATGCTGCGATCGTTGAGGTGTGGTTCAAACTACTTCATCAGAGTTCCATAAGAGGAAAACAGGTTTCTACTCACCATCTTAAAACGAAAAATTATGCCCTAAGTGGATAATAACATGTTTGATATCAGATTTTACTGCTTCCGGATAAGTAAGATTGTTGAGCGAGTTTTTATAGAACCCTAAGTCATGACATACCATGGTGTGAACCACAGACGGTACCTCAACTTATTTGACGCTATGGAAGAGCATTGGGTCTTTTCAACCGAGAAAACTCACAACTATCAATTCTTTGTCACCAGTGTTTGCAAAGTATGCATAAAGTACCTTCGGAACTTGTAAGGTGGGAGGTATCCCCTTTGTTTTCTGCTAATATCCGCAGAAGCCTTTATTTAGTGTCCGACAATAATACAATACAAGGAAAACTACACTAAAAACAGCGTACCTTGAGCATAAAGAGTCAATGTTGCTTGGATCGCAATGAAAAGAGCGTTAAATCCATATTTCTCGAACATGACCTCGACCATTTTTTCTCTGTTGCGGAGAGGATTGAATGGAGGCTCTGTCAATAGGATCTTTGCATGTCTGGGATCGATATTCATCTTCTTCGGACCAAATATATAATCATATAGATGGATCATATCATCCCAATTTCTCACAATACCATTCTCCATGGGGTAAGTTATCTCCAACATTTGTCTCAATTCACTAGCTTCATCACCAATCATAAGGTCTTGAACCTCCAAATTGCCCACACGAGATGTTGCACGCAGTATTGGCCTTCCAATAAGTGACGGGAAAATATATTCCGGAAACGTAGCTCCAGCATACCCACACTTAACAAACTGAAGATGTTTAATGGTCAGAAAATAAGTATACATACTCCCGTCCCGTTGTCGCAAACTACTATTTTATTGCCTTCGGAGTCCACAGTCATAGTGCAACGCACTACCTTCAAAAGCGAGCCTTAATTAGTAAGTCTTACCGCAATCGTTTCAAGGTCGTTTTATAATTCGTTTCAAAAGTTTAGTAACCAAATAGGAGAATGATTTGCTTCACTGATTTTCGTGTTCACAGAAAGTGGGTCACAAGTTAGGATGTTTTCAACCTGAGTACAAATGAAGCGGAACCTCACCTCGTTAACTAGTTCACCAGTTATTAACCCTTCCTAAGCCGGGATAAAGATGGAAGGTTGGGCATAGGGCTAGCAACCCTATCCGGTAAAAACAATCCAATCGCTAAAATACTTCAAAGCACAGACAAAACACAAAAAATAAAAACAAACTTATTCTTCGCTGGGATCGGAGAGACGAAATGACGCCAGTTAGTGAAAGCCTAACTTCGGAAAGCCAGTCGGCCGATGTGTCCTCTCTCGATGAAAGCGAAAGTAAAGATGGGCACATGAAATGTCCACACCATGTTTAAAGCTGGTTGGCAAGGCTGTCCAGATTGCAAAACAAATGAGGTATGGTATGGAAGTGCCTGGAATCTGCGAAAGCAGAAGGAATGGAAGTGGACTCTCCAAACAGTCAACTGGACAGTCAATAATCTACTCCGGTTACTCAGATGACAACCACGAGCACGTGAAGTTTCAGAGTGGCTATCATGATGTCTCCAAGAGCATCGAAGGCTCTCTTGCAATGGGAACCAATCTCCTCCTCCAGGATCATGACAGCATGATGGGTTCAACTCAAAGGTAAGGTAAGACAATCATTCAGTGTTACGCTACGCACCTACAAATAATGCAGATGAAGAGAAGAATGAGGAATAATGCAGGTGGCTGAAATCAGTACTGGACAAGACCCAACCGCAGTTGGCGACATCAAAATTCTAACAGGCGACATGAATGCCAAACTCGGAGTGGACAACATAGGAGAGAACTCATCATGGATCGAGAAGCACTCGATGAAATGAATGAGAATGGAGAATTGTTTGCAGATTTCTGTGCATTCAAGGGTTTGGTGTTTGGAGGCGAGGCAGTGTGTACAAACACCAGGATATTCACAAAGCGACATGGATTTCGTCAAATGTACACACTAAAAATCAGATCGAGTTCGTCTCAATCTCGAGAAAGTGGAGGCGCAGCTTACTTGACACAGGGTCAAGAGGAGGAGCAGGTGTAGGTTCACACCACTCACAATCTAGTGCAAGGAACCTACCTTCAAAATCAAGTTGAAAGCCTTCAAGGAAGTTGGTGATGATAGATCACAGTTCGAGTTCAATGTCCAGAACAGAAAGGGAAGTGAAAGACGAAAGTACAAAGGACATCTTCTCGTCAGTCATTCATCTGGACAAAATGAGAGACGAAGAGCAACATTTCTGGAGGGACCTACGTGGATGAGCACTGGAACTCTTTGGAAGAGATGTAGAAAGAAATCTGCATAACCGTATTAGGAAGGAAGAAGAAACAAGACACCGTATGGGTCTCGACGGATCTCCACATGTAAACTGATAGAGGAGAGGGGGATGGTGAGGCAGAAAATGAACCAGTGCAGTACAGAGCAGGGATGACCAACGAAAAGAGGAACTGAATACAGCCTATAAAACACTGGACAAAGAAGTGAAGAAGAGTGCGCGAAAAGGCAAAAGACACTCCTACAAAACACTTGCAAGTGAAGCTTGACAGGCTGCGGGTGGAAGAGACCTGACAACACTGCAAATCTGCGAGCAAAGAGGTCAATGCAGACAAAGCCGATAAAAGATAGTGAAGGAAAGCTAGTTACCAAAGAGGAGAAACAAACGAAACAATGGGCTGGTCACTTCAAAAACTATTGAATCGATCACAACCTCCACCTGCAACTACTCCAGAAATACCACCAGCAACCCAGCCACAGAATTATCAGTGAACGCGAACCCTCAAACAAAAGCCAAAGTCGCCAACGCCATAAAGCCACTGAAATCCGGAAAAGCAGCAGGACCAGATGGAATCTCACCAAAGGCACTGAAAACAGAGGCAGAGACAACAGCAGACATGCTCACGCCACCATGGCAGAAGCTTTGTAAGGAAGGAAAGGTACCTGCCGACTGGAAAAAAGGGCTATTCTCGTCAAACTCCCAAAGAAAGGAGACTTAAGTGTTTGCAAAAACTGGCGGCGTGGAACCATGCTCCTGTCCACCCCAAACAAAATATCAAACAGCATCATCCTGGAGAGAATAAAGATGCACTGGATTCAAAGATGCGACCGTAACAGGCTGGCTGGCTGGCTGCCTTCAGGAAGAACAAATCATATGCTGATCAAATTACAACACTACGCTACGCATCATCACAGAACAGAGTATAAAATGGCAGTAAACTCTCTACCTCAACTCCACCTCATCGACTTTGAAAAGGCCTTCGACAGTGTCGACTGAGAAGTAATTTGGCAGTTGCTTCAAGACTACAGAGTAACACAAACCTTTATCAAGCTTCCTCAACAGCTATATGACGACGCCACAGGCCAAGTGTGATTCACAATGGAAAGCTGAGTGATGCGTTTGAAGTGAAGACAGGGGACAGGAATGAGATAAGGCTGCCGCCTATTATCACCGATGATCTTCTTGATTGTGGTCAACTGGACTGGACTGGACTAGACTAGATAATTCAGCAAACTGTGAGGAGCGAGAAGATAAGCATAAGCTAGACTGATGAAAAGATCCTAGAAGATCTGAATTTCATCGATGATGATATATGTTCAATGACGAAAAAAACTCGAAGATCTACAGGCAAAAGCCAACAAGAACACAGAACAGGCAGTTCAGCGAAGACAGGAATTCCTTCAGTTTAACGTAGAGACGACAGAGGTGATGATGAGATATCCAACCAACCAACCAACCAACCAACCAACCAACCAACAACAACAAGGGGCATCAATCACGATGAATGGGAGAAACCTAAATGAAGTGGTCTCTTTCACCTACCTAGATAAGGCAGCATCATTTCAAATACAGGTGGCAGCATCACACATGAGGACATCAAAACCGGGATCGGAAAGACAACAAAACAGGCTTTCACTGATCTGAAGTCAGAGTGCAGATCTACTGTATTGTACTCCCCTCCACTCCCCTCCACTCAGCACAAAGCGTGAACATAATCCTGATTTTCAACACCAGTTCAGTCAAGCAAATCAGTGAGTGATTCTGTGTGATGGTTGAGGGGCTTAGCGGCGCGTTATGAAAAGCATTTCGAACAAACTACAGAGATACATCACATGAACGGCTGCCACCTTTACTCACTCGATACTGTCATTGAAGATCGGATGGATGGTGAGAATGATAAGAATAAGCAAGTATCAAGGAACTGTGGCTGGCTGGCTGGCTGACTGGCTGGCTGGCTGGCTGGCTGGCTGGCTGGCTGGCAAGGAATCAACCAAGAACCTATCGTCCAACAAATATGTAGAAGGCAGTGGAGATGATTTGGATTGGATTGGGCATACACTGAGAAGGCGGATTGGGGACATCACGCGCCAGGTCAGGCCAGTTTCCCGAGTGGAGGCCGAAGGGGAAACGAAGGGCTAGGTGTCTGAGATGACGAAGGTGACATGTATGAGATTGTGTGGCAGTGTTGGAGCTAGGTTGCCAAGACTGCTGAGAATAGATTGCGGCAACGTGGTAACGTGTTACTGAAGCTCTATGTTCCACTAGAAACCAAAGAGCTAACTAATAATAAATAGTACCAGGTATGCGGGACACATGTCTCAGCTGTCTGAGTCGATGAGAACTCACAGTCTTATCAGCTAATATTCCTCTCCTGCCTAAAACTCTACACTTGACTTGTACGTCACTGATGTGATTACACTATGACACTCAGTTTATGCTTAAGAATGCGCAGGTAGTCGAACTTCTGAAAACCTCTCATGTGCTCCATCTTCAGCTGTCATGTTCCATAACCATAGGATAACTCATCAGGGCTGATTTGACTTCCAAGTTAGTGAAGTGATCAACACGTTCAACCACATCACTCCATGTTTTTAGACAAAATATCAAAGTTGATCATTCTTGGGGCAACACTTGTATTCAGATGTTGGGTAATGGTCACCAAATAATCTGTGATTGCTTCTCAAAGTGTACAGAAGACTGGAGTTTGTCAGCGACTTATCTTCCATGGAGTCTTTCATTCACGTACTTGCAAAACAGTTTCTTCCAGTTTTACCCATTGTAATCTTAAGTAGTAGAATCGAAATTCCTGTTGTTATGGAGGTATAATCAACCGCCTAATGTTGCTGATAAATGAGTCACTCAACTATGATAAATTTCTTTTACTTCACACGACCTCCTAAACTGCAGATATTAGTGAAGTGCTAAAAAATGGGAACGTTCAGAGTTACGTAACTACTAAAATTTAGTGGAGAGATATGAGTCATGTTTGGCTTTTTGAGTCAAAGTTTGAGTATAAAACCCTAGAAAAACACAGTTCAGATGTAACAGGTTGCAATTTTCTGTCATTAGTTTGTCTGAATTGATCGATCACTACTGGCATAAAAGCTTCTGTATGGATTCTTTGATATTGGTGGTATTTTCAGTTGGAATCGAGGACATGGGTTTCATCCTAGTTAGTACCTGTCAGTTAGATGTATCAACCTTCAAGTGAATGATTTTGTGTCCATTAAGACTCATAGTCAGGACCAATCACTTGAAACACCAAAACGTTATCCACTCGGCCCCTAACTCATTATAACCACCTCTTGTACGAGGAGTATAGCATAGTATAGATGCCACAGCTTAGAAATATGCTTGCTCTCTACGGAATCTTTTGTCATTTACAATAAAGTTGGGACCACTGGTTCCACAACACTTGACTAAGAGAATATATGTTTTCAATGTAGGTTTTTATCGTTCCTTTTGATGAAGCAGTGATAAAACTGGCATTTTATACAAGTTTCATTCTAGCATAACTGTTTTTATATCATACCATCGTTGATTGGACCGAATTGATCGGTCTCTATTGGTATATGGGCTCCTGCGCGTATGATATTAAAACAATTATACTAAAACCATACCCATCGCGCAAGAAGTGGCTATCGTGGCTTGGTGGTGTAGTGGAGAACGCTCTGGCGTTTGAAGTGATAG